GATCACCACTGCAAACTGACTTTTCCTCTTCCCAGAATTCTCCTGTTCTTATTGTCCCACCTATACTTCCTGCTGGTCGCACAACCTATACTTTCTGCTGGGCTACTGGCCAATCAGCATTTTATTAAAATACAGCTGATAAATCTTTACAGGGTATAAGATCATTGTCCCACAGCAACCTCTATTCTAAGGAAATGCAAATTCTAAATCGCCCCACTCAGTTGTGTATGTTGGTCACTGCACAGTGGGGGCCGGTCGGAGTGGAATCCATTCTGCTCTCTGCATGCTGGGCCATGCACCCAGGGGAGTCTCTGGATGGATGTCCTTTGAACCGCAGATGCATCCATCTACGGGCTGGCCATCTCTTTCTGAACATGCAGCAAGGAATCCACCATGCAGCCCGGATTCACCTCCTTTCTCCCAACTCACATCTGAACGTCTCCCGCTCCCATTTACTTCATGACTGCCACCCAAGGCAGAAAGCCGGGAGGCAGGAAAGCTCCCTGCCACCAGCCTGCCACATCCTGTCTGACAGAGTTCAGCTTCCCTGCCTCTTTCAGGCCACTGCCACAGACTGTACTGACCTCATTATTTCACACTTCATTTAGGCTGTCTACTCCATGCTCCGTGCTCCCAAACCTTTCACCGCTGCACGAGGAGTCTTGCTGTAAGGTAGCCATGGTGTCCTGCCACTGTTTGGAGACTTTCCACGGCTTCCCGCTGCCCACTGGGTGAAGAGTCATGTCACACCCCAGCGTTCCCTCACTTCTACGTCCTTACCCTGCCAAGTCCACGGACCTGCTTTCCTCATGCCGCCTCACCCTCTGTCATGGGTCCCTCCTTAGAGCTCCTGCACCCACCGTATGCAGGTGACAGGTCCCTCACTGGAGCTCCCACTCCCCTTTGTCATGGCCTGACTGCTTGTGGGTGTTTATCTGTCTCTGACCCCTTTGGAGCTACAGTCTCTTAAAGCAGAACCTTTTCTTTATTTGGTGATGTATATCTACAGCCTGACCCGCGGCACGTGGGGGCGCAGACCCTCATCCATGAAATCCTAAATGGATGTAAAAGCAAGCAGATTATCAGGCGGCGAAGGGGACACCAGTGTAAATGAGGTTTTGCACAGAATACTTATTATGCCCAAGCGCCCTCTGGGGGAAGACAGATTAGGGATTAGGGAGCGGGGAGAAAGCCAGGCGGCTCTCAGGATCCTAGGGTTCTGCCCTGGTGGATTCTACCAGTCACAGAGGACTGAGATATGCAAGGGGAGGCAACTGCATATTCTCTGCACATGCACAGGCCTTTTTTCTTGTCACTGTTCCTTGAGCAACACGGAGTCACAAGTATTTACATAGCATTGGCATCGGATGGGTATCATACTAGAAACGACTTAAAGACTTAAAGGGCGGGTGTGGGTTCTAGGCAAACACCACACCTCCTTCTATAAAAGACAGGGGCATCTGTGGGAGGTTTTAATCAGAGGTCTTGAATGTCACCTTAAGGGGCATCTGCATTTGTAAACTATCCTCTGCAAGAACGAGAAGAGTGTACTCAATGCCTCTCAGCAGCAGGTAGTGGGCCTGACTTGCCCTTGATTTGCCACCTGGACAGATGGAGGAAGGGTTGGCATGAAGCATGCAAGTTGGGACAGAATTGGGGGGGTCCAGCAGTAAGCTACCAACTCAGAGGCCCCAGGATGGCTTCTGCTAGGTGCTCTGCTACAGACAGGCAGGAGGCTTCCAAAGGGAGGGGTGGGGGAAAACCCCAGCAGACCAACTAAACTGGGAGAGGCATTTCCCATTCCGTCCTTTCCTGGTCCTATCTATCTCCAGGGACATCCCCAGCCCTACAGGCTCTCTGTGGCACTCTCTTCAAATACCCCAGACCTCTTCTCAGTCCTTCTCATGGATAATCAAGCAGGAATCCATTTAAAAATCTGCTTCCAGGGTTAACAGTGTAGCACACCGAGACAGTATTTGCCCAGAACATGGGGTTCAATCCCCATCAGCACACACAGATACCCCTCCACTGCTCCCTCACATACACACAAAAAATTAAAATCTGCTCCCACTATGAGCAGGGCAAGGCCATTCTTTATGGTATATATTTGAGGCTCAATAAAAATACGTGTTGAATTGACCAGAAAAACAATGAATACAATAATTACCTAATGAGTGAGTAAAGTTGACCTCCATCCTGAATGCAAGACGGAGGAGTTAGGATTACTCAGTAAGAGAGAAAGTGAGAGGGGCCAGTTCTACTGGACCCACCAGATAACCCAGCAAATCAGTCCACCCTGTTACATACAAGACTGGTGAACATGTGAACCAAAGTCATCCTCTGCAGTGTTTAATGTTAAAAATCAAAAACAATGTAATTTAGTAACACATGTCAGTTACCTGCAATTCACGCTCAACTGTCCAAACACAAAGGCCCTCCCCCTTTCTGCCACACATAAAGTTTTATTAGAACGTAGCTGCATGCACTAGCTTAAATACTATTTATATTACTGCTCACGCTAAGTGATAAAGTTAAGTCTCTGTGTCAGAGACCATTACCCTCCAAATCTAAACTATTTACTGCCTGGTCTGCTAGAGAATCAGCTTACCAACCTGAGGAGCACACTGCACCCCACAACCCCAAGGAAGCTCCGTCCTATGGTATATGAACAGTCAGAGTCCCGGAAGGAATCCGTCCTATGGTATATGAACAGTCAGAGTCCCGGAAGGAATCCGTCCTATGGTATATGAACAGTCAGAGTCCCGGAAGGAAGCTGCCAGACAGTGTCTGATGATACAGAATGCGGCTGCATTTCCATTAATAAGTAGAGTAGTGCTTACACTAATGGCAGCACATTCCTAATACACCGCGATGAAAAAGAATGAGTTAGATAAAAATATTCAAAGTCCAGAACAAGGCCTATAATAAATTGTTGCCATAATTTAAAGGATAGGATGGATAACATATGTAATTTATTTTTAAAACAGCAGCATGCCTATGCTTAGAAAATAGAGGATACAAACGCCTCAAAAGGATATATGTGATAAATAGCTCTGGGAAACGTGACTGAGGATTTTTAATGTTGATTTGAATACCGTTTTTATTCAGTGGCTTTTTAACCCTGAGAATATACTATTCTTTAACTGAGGAGTGAGAGGAAGAAAGAGATAGATACATGGATAGATAGATAGATAAATAGATAGATAAGATAAGATAAATAGATAAATGGATGGATGGATGGATGGATGGATGGATGGATGGATGGATAGACGGACAGATAGGTAGGTAGATAGACAGCCTAGAAAGGCATTTTCTCTATTTCCCTTTGCAACAGACTGGCTAATTTGAGACAAGAACAAATCCACCCCAATTCTTGCTCTTGAGCTCATCCAGTCCAAACTGCATAGCACAGATGGAGATCTGTGTTCAGACACCCACTCCCCTGGGGAACGGCACTGAAGCAGCCTCTCCCCAGGGGAAGCGCATTCAAACAGCCACTTGCACCCCTGAAACATCAACGCTCCTGAGCAGGGCAAAGATGCTCAAGTGTTTGTTTTGAGGAAGTGTGAGATTAGAACAGTTAAAAACAACCCCACTTCCCTTTTCCTAGAAACCCTGGTCATAGCTCTTCAAGGGGAACGCCCTGCTGAGCCTGCAGGTTAGGGTGCTTGCGTTATGCACAGTTCAGCCAGCCAAAGAAGCAGCTGTCAGCTTCTCTGTCTCCAGATGACTGCTGGCTATCCTCTCACTGGGAGCACTCCCTTTAGTGAAGGCTCAAAATTGTAAATTGTATTAATAACATCCATGTCTCAGCTGGAGAAATGGCTTAGTGGTTAAGTCTAAAAAATGGCTTAGTCTTCCAGAGGACCTGGGTTTAATCTCCAGCACCCACATGGCAGCTCACAACTGCCTTTAATTCTATTCTAGGGGATCTGGCTCCCTTGCATGGATATACCTGTAGGCAAAACACCAATGCACATAAAATAAAAATAAATTATAAAAATAATTAATATTAATATACACGGAATATATATTCCATGTCCTGGTGGCAAGAGGCAAGATAGAGCTATGAAGTTAGATGGGCAGAAAAGACAGAGGCCAATGCTGGAACCAACAGGTAGACATTCACATTCTTGGCACAAATGTCTGAGGTGCCCAGCAAGTCTACTTTTGCTTGTGTTGTTTCTCTTGGTTTCCTCGAGGCAGAGTCCTTGGAAATACAGGGAGGTCAGGATTTCTCAGCTGGTTTGTTTTACACTTCTGCCCTCAACCTGATCAGTGTCCTGTTTAACTTGTGCCAAGACTAGCCGTACTGCACAGCATCGTAAACCATCGGGATCCTGGAGTCATTTGGGAGGTCCAGGGAAATTTAACTCTTTGGAGCATGGAGCTCCAGTCCTATTCAGCTCAAAGAGATGCAGGGAGTGGTTGGGCGGCTGGAGGTAGGCATCTAATCCTTGCAACTGGGAGGTTGTCACAGGAGAACTAGCATGCATTTGAGACCAGCAGCCAGTGAGATACTTTAGTTGAGAAAAGGGTGTTACAGTAAAATCAGGGCAAGTTTTTGCAGCCTCTGACTCTCCGGTACCATTAGAATAGTCCCTAGACAGTATAGATTACCTTGACCTGTTGAGCTGGCTTCTGAGGTCATTTACGAACAATACAGTCCTAGAGTCTAAGGTTTGAGTTCAATGAAGGTTGGTGTGAGGTGTCAAGGATTCTGGGAATCTGAAAGTACAGCTGTCCTCTAAAGCTGCTTCCAGAATGCAGAGCGAGGCCCCAACACCTAGCACCAGGAATGAGCAGGACCCTACTGTAGCCCCTGGCATATGATAAACAATTCTAGAACCGGAGGGTTAAGATGCCAGGTTACCTTTCCTTGAGTCAGATTTAGCAAGGAAAAGCCCCCAAACCAGAAGGTGGAGCGGGAGGGAGAAAAACAGCCCAGGAAGAGGCAGACATTGCGGGGTTAGAAAAGGCTGCTCCTGAGCGGGACTCACCATTGGTAGTCGTGTTGACATAGTAACGGCGGCCCTGAGGAGACAAGTAGCTGTGCCAGCCAGGTGGAAGGATGACCGTCTGGCTCTCCTCTCCCGGCGGAGGGGGGACCATCCCAGGCTTCTGTTGGAGAGGAAGGAAAGGGTCAGACATACTTGTCATTTTTCACAACTGTTTGGAACCACAAAATCACTTTGGAATCGCACAACTGGGATAGCCTGGCCTGCAGGCATCTCTTGGGACAGATGACATGCAGTATGAAGCGCCCCTCACAGAAGGCACAGCCCCACCCAGAGCAGACAGAACTGACCTTCTTCCCTAGCAGATGCTGAAAAAAAAAATCAAACCCAGGGTGCTGCGCTTGCCAAGAGCCCCTTCACTCCCCATGGACTATGCAATCTACACCCGCTGTAGACTGTGCGTTCCACACCCGCTGTGGACTGTGCAGTCTACACCCGCTGTGGTATGTACCGTCTACACTCCACAGGACCACTGAGTACAGCAGCAGACACAGCCCCAGGCCTGCTGTGCAAACCTAGCAGAAGTAATTAATGCAGGCCACGGCAGAGCAAGGTGTAAAACATTCTCTAATAATGTTGAGAGTCTGTGAGAGCTGGGTTGGGTTTCTCTTTTTTTCCACTGTCATATCACTGTGGCTGGCACAGGGAACCGGGATTGTTTAAGATGAATCAGACACCATAGGCCTGATTCCTGTGACCATGCACGGTAACATCTGTCTTAAGAAACAGAAGAATATGTAAGTCGGAGCATTACGTGGAAGGCGGGCACACACTGTAGCTGCATCTGTGATCCCTCTGGTGGGGGCTTACGGGCAATTTTTAATTCTTTATTCTCTTACTTATCTTTTCCATGTAAATCTCCAAAACACAGAAATAAAGATTCTCGGCTAAAGAACATTTAAAACTAAAAACAGAGGATAAAATTAGCCCACACACTTGCTGTGCCTTTTGGAGAAGGTAAATTGACAAAAATCAGAACTGCAACTACGGAAGGCCAAAAAATTCTCAGCCAAAGCTGTTTACAAATACAAAAGGCCACCAACTCCTTGGTGCCCTCGGTGTCCCATGCCATACCCCACAGGAGTGGCTCCTCTGGCCACCAATGGCCAATATTTAGGAAAACAGGGTAATGATTGAAACCAGAGCAATGAAGGATGTGCTCTTGATGCCCCTCTCCAGACAGCCCCAAGGGGGATTTGTCTCAGTTTCCTGTGGAGGCCTTTGTACTATAAAAGGAAGAAGCAAATCCCAGGTGCTGCTGGGAGTAAACATGGCCTCCTTCAGCCCTCTATGGAGACCTGGTGTATGCCATGAATTCCCACAACTGTGCTCCCATGTTTCTGTCTCCCGCAGGGGCACCTGCTAAGCCACAGTGCCTCTTTGATTTTGCATGAAAGGCTGTACTCTAGACAGGTGATGGCAGATACACAGCAGCCAGGCTGACGGTAGTGGAGTATCTGCCTCCTGGGAGCATAGATCATACACCAAACACAAATGAACCCGGGAGCAGGAGAGACTGGCCCCGAACACCAATCACTCTAGCGTCTCCTGGCCTGGAAGATGACCAGAATACAGGCAATACAAATAGGATAATGAAGGAGAAAGCATGAGAAAGAAGCAGATATGATGGTGTTCGTCCATGATTCCAGCGCTCAGTAGAATAAGGTGGGAGAATCATGAATCTGATGCCAGTCTAGGCCCTCGCAAGGCCCTGTCTTAAAACACCAAGGGTTAACGAATGAGAAGAGGGTGAAAAGAAGAAAGCAAGGGAGGCGTGGAGGAGGGTAGAGGGGAGAGACAGAATCCTGTATACACAGGGTCTTGGGAATAAAGTGGCAATTGGGGTTGGGAGTGGGCGGGGGGGGGCGGGGCGATGGTGCTGAAGAGGGCTGCTTTGCTGGAGAATCTTCTAGAACCAGAGGATGAGATGGCTGGTCCCTCATCTTTCCTTGAGCCTAACTAACATCAGGAGTATCAGGAGGGGGTCCATGGGAAGCTGTTGATGCAGGTTAAGCAAGCTTCTGAAGCTCACAGGAAGGCCCTGCACAAAGAGGATCCAAGGCCGCAGTGTAAACAGCCTCCGGCTCCAAGCACTCTGGGTGCCAGTCCTACCTCAGTCATCACTGGACCTCGGGCAAGTGACTCAGCCAGGCTATTTCCACATCAATGAAACAAAAGATGGTAACGTTGGCCCAGGTGTGGAACATGCTGTGGGCTGTGGAGAGCCAGAGTAACATACCCAGAACACCAAAGAGGAACCACGACCAGGGTTGCTTCAAGAGATGGGGGAATATCACCCTAAGGGGGAAAGCTCTCCCATGCTCTGCTCCCTGAGAGATAAAGTCCAGGCAGACACACAGACCTCCCCTCCACCACATCTGGAATGTCACCCTCAATGGTTGTTCTGAGGTTTCTGCTGCCAAGAAAGGGAGGTCAATGTCCCCTGGAGTTGATGATTGTTGTTGAAAAGCTGGTCGGGGAGGAGTTCTGTGGGCCACAAAGTGAATGAATTGAGTCACTTGATGCTCCAGGGCCTCAGCTTTGAAGCAACTGCCAGAAGCCTGGCTCTCTTCAGTTTCCTAGTACTGTTCTCTTCAGAATGATTCTGGTTTATCTACCTGTGAAACCCAGCGAGCTAACAGGAAGCCTCGGTTTACACACGAGGATATGGTTGACTATGAAGGAAGAGTGTCCTGAGGCTCTCCTATCTAGGGAGTGCAGGGACCTTTGGAGAGACACCATAATTCTGAGCCAGGGAGAGCAGAGAAGGGGTGGGAGAGCACCCACTGGGGGGAGGGGGCTAATTCTTAATTTGGCCAATGTGCTATGCTGAGGGTGGTTTTCACACCCGTGGAACACAGCCACCAGGCACCCTCACTGCTGGCCATATGACTGCCTTGCCTTATCTCCGGAGCCAGCTGCAACTCTCTTGTCTTTTTCTTTCCTAGGAAGAAGCCCTTGCTAGCTCACCACCCACAAGTCAGGAGATGCTGGAGACAGGTGGGGATACGGTTCTCCGCAAGACTGAAAACAAACATCCCAGCAAGCTGGATGTGAGCATTCAGGGCAGTATTCACAAGGGCCAAACATGTAGATAATACAATGGACCATCTGTGAGGATATGGACATAAATACAGAATAGCCATATGATGGAATATTACTCAGAAATGAAAAGGAATAAGGTCCCGGTTCTCATTATATCATTGCTGGGCCTTAAAGACATCATAAAAGAAGTCAGGTAATAAAGGTCACACGTGGCCTCATTCCATTATGGGACAAGTCCAGAGCAGGAAATGCCACAGGTTACACTAGTGGCTACGGAGGGCTGTGGGCAGGAAGATAAGATAGACACTGGGCTTCTCTGTGTGTGTGTGTATGCGCGCGTGCTCGTGTTTGCGTGCATGTGTGAAATGGTCTAAACTAGGAAGATGTCACGGTTACACAATATGCAGGGGGTGCATAAATGCTATGCATGGTCGATTTCAAATATATATATATATATATATATATATATATATGTATATATTCACAACAAAATTTGTCTTTGAAGAACATACAGCAAGGCTAGAAAGATAGCTCAGAAGTTAATAGCAAGCACTTTGCTGCTCTTGCAGAGGACCCAGGTTTGGTTCCCAGAACCCACAAGATGCTTACAAAACAAAAAACACCTATAACTTCAGTTTCAGGGGATCTGACGTCTTCTTCTGGACCCCAAAGGTATCGCATACGTGTGGTGCACAGAAATACATGCAGGCAAATACTCATTTGCAAAAAATAAAAATAAAACTTTAAGAAAAGATGCAAAGGCAAAACTTTAACTCATTGCCTGCCAGTTCTCATTTAAGAGTCTCAAAGCATCCAGTGCTCCTCGCTCTTATGACCTCAACGGGGCAGGAACAGGCGGCCTTCTGGGAGAGCTGCCCACAGCCACCAACAGGGTAGGTGTGGATGCCTACTTAGTAATTAAGGACTCCCTTGAATTTCTTCTCTAATTAGTTATCTCTCTAGCTAAATCCTCCCATCTGCACTGGCTAGTTTTATGTCACCTGATATAAGTTAGGGCTATTTGGAAAAGGGGCCCTCAATTAAGAAAATGTCCCCATTAGATTGGCCTGTGGGAAAATCTGTGGTGCATTTTTTTTTTTTTTGATTTATGATTTACATGGGAGCCCGTGGTTTGTACCACCCCTGGGCTGGTTATCCTGGTTTCTATAAACAAGCAGGCTGAGCATGCCATGAGAAGCAAGCCAGTAAGTAGCACTCCTCCATGGTCTCTGCTTCAATACCTGCTTCCAGGCTCCTGTCCTGACTTCCCTTCATGATGGAGTCTGACCTGAGAGTTGTACACTGAAATCAACCCTTTGCCCCCCAAGTTAATTCTGGTCTTGATGCTTCATCATAGCAATAGAAACCTAACTAAGACCCCCTTCCTTCCCTGGCCCTTGCAGCTCCTCTGCTCAGCTCTCTTGGCTCTTTCCAATGGGAAGAGGAAGGAAGAGCGGAGAGGCACCTCAGTAGGGCAACAGCACCTAGAACAGACAAGATCAGAGTGAGCAGAGCGGGCTGGTGGTTCCTGCTACTGAGGCAGGACTTAAGTCTCTGATGGATTTAATAATCCTGCCGCTGCCTCTGAAAGGAGCCATCCCTAGGCCAGAGTGGAGAGCTCTTTCTGCTCTTCCCTTGTTTGTTTAAGAAAAAACATGCTTAACTCTACACAAAAGTTCATCCTCTGAGTGTGTGAGAGAAGTGTCCGTCCTCCAAATAGGTGTAAAGATCTTCTGCAGTGTCACTCCAGGAGGCACGTTGTTTTTCTTTGAATTCTTCTGTGCAATATCACACTGTCTGATTATACATAGCACGTTTGCTTACACACGGGTTCTCTGATGGACACTTGCATGATTTCACTTCAGAGCCATTGCAAACAATGGTGCTAGAAACACTTGTCCCCTACCCTTTTCATCGGTAACATCAAGGAGTTTGTAGACCGCTTCAAAATCCTTGTCAGATGCCCACACATCTGTCATCCTGGCCCTCAGGACTCTGAGGCAGGAGGATCACCCGTGCAAGGCCAGTTTGAGATACACAGAGACTCTGCCTTCAAAC